TCCAAATTGTTCTGCTGACCCTTTCTGAAAATGTTGGACTTAAGATAGAACCCATTCTTCCTAATGCAGCCATCATTGTTAAGAAAACTATTTACTAGCCTCTTTAATGCATTACTTTAGAGTATTTATGTTACTTCTTGTACCTAAAAGCTAAGCTAGGCTATTCTGCGTTGATCCCAAAGGAGACTGGACCAGTAGTTTGGAAATGTTCAAATACCTAACTATTGTATGTATGACAGAAGGCTGTCCAACAGAGAAAGGCAGCAGGCATGGGAGAGGAGGAAGGGAAAAGGGAAAAAATATGAAAGAGATGACAAAAATGTTTCATTTTCATACTCTTTATCTCAGCTGCAACACATCTGCATGGGATTCAGGTTAGATTCCATCACCCAGATTGGTACCACTCAGCTGTTCAAAGCAGGGCTTGCTGAAGAGTCAAGTGATGCATGGACCTTACACTCAAGTCCTCCAAAGGTTGACATTCAGCTGAAGTGGACTGAAAGAAAAAATTCAGTTGGATTTAGGTGCTACCAGTAGGGTGGGTACTCTGTGGACCCGCTGTCACAAATTTCATGGTGGATTTTTTTCTCATCATCTGACAGAAGACAAAGTCCTACACTTACTTGATCTGCAGTGACTTTGTGACTATGTTTTTCTCTATAATGTTTTTTACCTGTTTTAGAAGATGAACAGACAAAAATATTTAATCTAAAATACCCTTTATAGGAGTAACACCTCAAGACAAGATGGCTCTCACTGAACTGTAGATTTATAGGATCATTAAGAAGGATAAAAGCCTTAGCAAACAGCTGTGAAAACTGGGCCTGTGCTCATGTGGACTTCAGGTTGCCCAAGAATGTCATTAAGATGTTTAGTTACTGTATGCATTATTCCCCGTAAACATGCTTGGGTCCCCCAGAGGGATATCTGGGTCACAGACCATGCTCCAAGGCATGAAACAAAGTGGAGAATTAACATCTGAGGACCAGCAAGACAGACTATTGATAATAAATTGTCCTGACGAGTAATACTTGCAGCACCCTGGTCCAGGCTTCCCCCAGGGTGTACAGGGAGCAACGCATGACAGTCCCATGATGCTGGGGACAGAGGACACTGTGCTTGTGTTAAGGGCTGGGCAATATGTAGGATCTCCAAGTACAGAAAGTCTGCAAAATTTCCATAACCTGCACAGCCATTTAGCTTGTCCAGTACTGTATCAATAAAAATAATTTGGTAGGCCTCAGGAGTCCAGATACATAACAATAGAGTATTAGAAGCTGCTGTGGATTAACATGCAATTAACTTTAGGAGATCCCAAAGGGTAACCTGTACTGCCATCAAGGGGGGAGGAATAACCCTGTTATGATAAACCACAAACACCCTGTAATTACCTAGCCACACCACAGCATAGTCATCACCCTGTAATGAAGTGGTCAGCAGTTATCATGTTATCATGTCATTGAAAGGAAGCTGCAGAATGTTTGTGGAATTTAAAATCCTG